CCCGGAGTTGATGACAGCATTAACAGCTTAATATTGTTTACACTGCTTTGAAATTAATACTTACCGGTATGAGAAAACAAACTTCAAACAAAGACAGTAAAGGGAGAAACAAGTGAGACTGCCGAAAACTTTTTTTTTTTTTTTTTTGTGGAAAAAGGCAGAAAATCACTGCTGGGAATTAGAAAACAGTGGGGGAAAGGCCAAAGGAGGAAAAGTAAAAAAAAGCCAAAGAAAGAAATAACAAAGAAAAACAACCAATAACCTCTCTGTCCATGTGTCTTAACTACGTTGCTTCAGAATGTACTGTCGTGTGAAACCAGGGTAATGAGGTGGCAAAATGAAGACGTATCACAGCCCCGACAAAAAGGAGAGTTTCAGAGGTCGCATCAGATTCCCCATTCAGACACACACAAAGTGTTAAACCGCTTGATCGTATTCATTAATTCAAATCAGAAATTCACACCAAATGCAAGCGCTCCGAGGGGAAACTGTAGCCCTTCATTCGGCATCAAAATGCATCTTTAAATGAATGACTGCGCTCCGAAAAAAAAGATGATCGGTTAAATAAAGGTGAGGACGGATGGATTAGCGCTGATGGACGTGCGAGTGGATGAACACATATTGAATAAATGGGAAGAATAATGGATGAAAAGGATGTTTTCTGGTTGGTCTACGGGTTGAAATGACCCTATTCACAGTGTGTGTAGACGCTCTGGATTTCAGTGTGTGTCTAGTAAAATCTGTTTGTGTGTGTGTCGGCGTGTGAAGATAAGTCTATCATTGCGCCCTTGTTGCTCTGACAGACACATTATTAGGTCCTCTGGAGACAAAAAACACACAGACAGCTATCTGATCTCCTGCACACACACACACACACACACACACCAACACACACATCTGACATGATTGACTCTCGCTCTTTGTGTCCTCTCCACCTTGTCTTCTGGTGTGTACGAGAAACACAAGGGGGAGAAATATTATTAGCTCTTAAAGAACAGACTCAGACTATGACACCCAATAACAGCCTCTTCTTCTTCTCCTCTCTATTTTCTGTCTACATTTTGTCTCTGTCGTGTCTACTGTAGCTCCTCGCCCTTTTACGCCGTCACTCCTCCACTCATTAGTTACATCCTTGTTTTTTTTTTTCCTCTCCAACCTGTTTCACCCTCTCTGCTTATTTCAGCCTCCTCTCTCTCTGTCTGTCTCGCCACATCCTCGTCTCTCTTTCATTGTTTTTGCACCTTCTCTCATTGTGGCTGCATGTTATGTAGAAAATAACTTCAAAAATAACCAGGTCTCTTCACATTTCCAGAATAAACCGCTCTGAAGGGAAGTAAACCAGCCGGATGAGAGAGCTAGAAGAAGCTCCTTTGTGTTGTGAAGGTGGTGAGAGTTGAGGGCCATTGCAGGGCCTCGTTTTGGGCGAACGGTTTGTTCTTGGTTTATTAGATTTATTCTGGATTATATTTATAACATAAAATAAACTTGATGTGGAGTTTCAAAGACTTCTTAAATGTAGCTTTAAAATAAATCGCCATTTTCAAGGTTGCACTTCATCCTGATATTACCTCTTGTGTTTTTGCTAGAGTTTGGGATTTTTTGTTTCAAACCAACACATATCAACACAGTTATCACATCACACTGGCAACATGCTACTGATCAGCTACAGTTACGTTTACATTTTGATGTTACCTGATCCTCTCAGACAGGAAATAAGGCCTTCTCATCATCACAACAGCTTTCGGCTTTGGGCTGATACTTTATCGCCCCATCTTGTGTGTATTGTCTTCATTATTAGAGGGATTTGTGCTGATATGTGGGCGTATTTAAGGTTTAAGGTGATTTTGCAAACTGGTAAATATGTGGCAATCAGGAGATATTGATGAATGATGCAACAGTAATGTAACAAGTAGTGTGACAGTAAAGTAATGCATTACTTCTTTAAAAAGTAATGTGTACGAGGGTGTCAGAAAAGTTCCAGGACTGGTGTCACAAAACATATATGTCAAACCCAAACTACAATCTACAAATTTTCCCCTTCACAGTCTAACACACTTCCCCAGCCTTCTCTGCCGCCATGCACTCCTGGAAGGATTCCTCCAGGATCCTCTGCAGCTCCATCGTCACAGTCGTCTTGATGTCATCCACGTCTTCTAAACTGGTCCCCTTGATGACCTCCTTGAGCTTGGGGAAGAGGAAACAATCCCACAGAACCAGGTGGGGTGAGTAGGGAGGTTGCTCCAGCACGCCGGTGTTCATCTCAGCCAGGAACTGTGGGATCCTCAGGGCATTGTGAGCAG